GACTTTACTTTATATCTGGTATGAGCAACCTGTCCTAATTAATTTCCAGCTTTACCGAAATGGCTCTCTTAATGGGGCGAGTCCAGCAACCGATAGAAATCTCAATGGGCCGCAATTAGCTTGGGGCTGTTATTGTTGCTTAGTTTGGTAGTTTCGCATGGCCAAGAAATGTGTGGCCAAATTTATGCAAATGCCAATTCGGAGGTGCCGTCACTCCGCCGAGTTTTCAACTTTCTTTTGACCAACAGCGCGGCTAAGACACATAAAGATAAATAGATACATGGCCAGATATACGGATTGTATATACAAAATGTCAATGAACTGTCCTCAACGTTAAAAATGGTTAATATTTAAAAAGAAGAACCTAAAAACCGAAGAAGCGTAGACGTAGAAATTGAAGATGCAGAGACAGAAATTGATCTGTTCGGCCAGAGATTGAAAGAAATGGTTGGTCGGTCGTTCGGTTGGGGAAGAAACAAACTAAATGGTATTTGAAATTTACATAAACTAGCCATAAATTAAATTAGCCAAAGTCGAAGCTGAAGCCGAAGACGAAGCCAGTGTTAAGATACGAGATGCAGGCCAACAAGCGACCCAGCATCATCATTATTCGAATACAATTAACACAAAGAGAAAGCAACTACGACAGAAAGCAACAATGGCTAGCCAAGAATGTATATAGATACTACTGGCATTAATTTTCCCTCTGGTATGCCCGCCAACTTTCGGTATTGAAAAGCCATAAAAACCCAAAAGAAACACAAAATAAGGCGGGAGGGGGAAAAAAACAAGTTGAATCCAAAGTAGAAGTAGGAGAGATCACAGCCAGTGGATCGCACAGATACAAATGTATCTCGGCCTCTCCGTATCTACATCTTATAACATTTAATTCATTGTTCACTATTTGTGTATTATGTATTCCATTTTGTAGTTTTCGTTTTCTGACGTTTGTTGTTGTTGTTTTTTCAGTGATTTTTTTCCCTTTTGGCCGATTCGATCGGTCGTTGTAAAGTGCTTCGGCTGCTGGCCATAATGGAAAACGCGTATTGGCCAAGTTGTGCGTGGCGCGGTTGTTGTCATTAAATTTGCGTTTATTTCATTGGTTAACCTGTCTCCTTTTCCTCTCCTCCGTTTTCTATTTTGCTATCTGCCTCTCTTTCTCTCTCTCTCTCCCTCCGCAAATGTCTTAGTTTTTGTTTGGGTGTGTGCGTTTTATTGTTTCGTTTCTTGCTCGCTTTCAATGTTTTGTTTAATGATCGTGTTTACATACTTAGACCATCTTATTCGCCCACGGTATTCCATCCAAATTGTCTTTCAAGCCAATTCAGATGTGGGCAATTCAATTATATTGCCCAAGTTGACGGGTTACGAGATTTCTAAATCAACAGAGCTAACTTGGTACCTATTAATTCAATAAAATATTTAAATGATAAGATCTTTACTTCCTTCTGTTACAAATTTGATTTCTATATATATATTTGAGGTATTAAAAAAAATCATAAATGTGCAAAAGGTAACCTGTCATCAGAAAAATTAGTTCAGCAGCTACTCAATATTTTAACACCTTCAATCTAGTACTTGTCTAAACTACCCTAAGATATTTTAATATTGAAAATACTACTATTCTTTGTCAATTTCCATTATAAAACAACTTCTACAAATATTTTATTTTTTGTTTAAAAATTTGAACCCTAAAAGCAAAGCAATAAGATTATCAGAACTTCAGTCAATATAACTATCATAAAAATATTACAAAATCACGAAACAATAAATTAATTGTTAATATCGGTCCTTGAAGTATAAGTTCTTAATTACACTTTTAAATTTTCCAGGCGAAACATGGCTCTAAAGTTGTACCTATCGGAACCCAGTTTGCTATCTCTTTGTCTCGGAAAGTGTCAATCGGATTTCTAGGTACAGCCGGGATTATCCGGGCAAGCGGCTTTGATTGGTTTCGGGGGTCAACCGGTGGATGGATCGATATGTGACTGGCGTTGACGGCGGCGGTCAGGTTAATTATAACATTAGCCAACTGACAACTGGTCAGCTTCTATCGCATCGAAGTAATCGAGAGACACAGTCGAGCACACACACGGCTGATTTGTGAAGCGGAAGGTGTTTGCCATCGGAGCATCGGCATTGGCATCCAAATATACTTTTCCCACACTTCCCAAATAGCAACGAGGTGTTCACACCGGGCCCAACCCCGCCGAATCCCCTTTTGCGATGAGTCGCCGAGCTGAGCTCCCCCGGATGGCTTTTTGGATCGGTTCGGGTTGTCGGGTACTCGTAAATTTCCATATGACATTATTAGGTGGTTCGCTGCTCCTCAACGTCGCTCTGCCAGCTATTATGTCATAATTTTAGGAAAAAGTGAAGCGCTCAACCAAAATAAATTAAAAATTGCTTTCATGCTTGAATCGTTCGGTGGGGAGAAGGGGAAATATATTGAGTGAGTACTCGGCAACTTGGCTGCCTGCGAAACCGGCGAACTTCATTACCGGTCGTTCGGTATCCAAATATAAAGCACGTTGTGACATTGCCACGGATCGATCCCTTGTACCTCACAAAATAAATACATAAAAAAACATCCATCCATACACACACACTCGCTTCCAAGTGTTTATGGTCGATTGGAGGTTTATAATGGATAATATGCTGCTGGCCCCCTTTTTGTGGATTCAAATTTAGAACGGCGGGTGAATGAAGTGCGCAATATTCAATTAAAGTCATTATTATTAGTAATTTCCCTTTGCCAGCAATTGCCATTGATTGTTCGTTAGATCGATCCAGAGATCGAATGTTCGATCGATCGATCGGTGGATCGATCGGTAATCCCATCTCCACCCGCACTAATTGATATTCGAGTGCGATAGACTCTCTATCTCAGGGGGCCAGCTGCATTTTGTTTGAGAACCGCGGACGGACACCGTACCGGAAAAATTCATCAATTTCCAATTTGTATGTATTAAGGCGAGCACCCCCAACCCCCTAAAATCCCCAATCCCCACCCACACACCCCCTTTTTCTGGACTAAGCATAATGAGGCATTATGCAAAAATGACCGAGTATATTTTTTCGCTAATGAAGAGCTGTATTTTTTCTGTTCGCTTGCCTACATACGGACGTCTTTATTAAAAGTAATTAAGTCGTTGTAATTGTCATTTGACGAACTGTCTATTAAGTGGAAAAGGTGGTCGGGGGATAAAGGCGACTATATTGACATCTGCCATAAAGCTACTGCAATTTAATCCCAGAACAGAAGAAATATCAAATCAATCATATAAGGAATTTCATTTAGAAACTATTAAGGGTTTTATTTAGTTATGAAATACAAAACCTAAGTTTTAATCTCATATAGGAATTAGGGAAATAAAAGGAATAATTTATTCTTTGTTGTAGTTATGGAAACTAACGTAATGTTCGGATTATTTTCAGATTTTAATAAAATGTACCACTCATTTAAATTGCATTACGAATGAATAAAACTTGTAGTGTCAACACATGCGTTCAAATACAAGTATCTAGAAAAGCTTACAAGAATAAGTATTTGAAATTGAATTAGAATCTCAAACTCCAACAACTTGGAGTTCAAACTACCCCATGGGGTGAATTCCCCCCTCGAAATACGAATCCCTCGTCCGTCCTCAATTTTTGCCCCATTCCACTGGCTGGCGTCATTGAAGTAAGTAATAATTGTGTCTAAATTTGTACGCAGACCATTTGAATCTCAATAAAATTTATAGTTAGCACGAAAATATCTCCCTCAGTCGCTCGGCGAGTCGATTTCGCTCTGCAGGCGAGCTTTAAAAGCATTTTCGGGTAGCCAACGCGACCGTACAGAAATTGAACTCAAGTGCAGACAATTGAAGCTCCTCACAGAAATTTTTGGACTGCGGGTTTTTTGCTTTGAGGTTTCTAGGGGAAGAGGGGAAGGGGGAATGGGGAGCGGGGGGGTTTGGGGAATGGCACCCCTTTTGATGCTTTGAATGTGTGTGTGTTCGTATATGTTTTGATTTTGATTTCAATTCTCTATCGTCCATCGTTTATTTTTCTTTTTGCAAGCGGTTATTAACCAATGCAAAAGTCAGCCGACGGTCGAGTACTCGCGCCATTTGGTTAATTGATTCCATCCAAGCAACCACCCACCACCCCCAAGGCGTCTACCCCTTCTCCATGGATTTTAGTTCTTTTTTGGCGTTGGCTTTGACCAATTCGAATTTGTGCTTTTTATTGTTGCCATAGAGCGACTGACACAAGCAAATCTGTATCGCCAACTGGACACGCAAAAGCGGAGAGAAATGCACAGAAAGAAAAAATGTATTTGTGATAAAACATATATATTTAAGACCTTTAACAAATATCCAAAATATTAAAAACAAATATAAATTGCCAAAAATGTTACGGATTTTTTTTGTGATTAATTGTTGTCACGTTGGAATTTCAAGATTTTTGAACTAACCATTTCTTGTGCTCATATCTTATAAAAATATTTTTCAGAAAAAATGTAACTTTTCTATTTTCTTTTTTAATAAAAAATTCGTTGCACCGTACATTTTTTTATCTTTTAAAAAATGTATCATTACTTTTCAGAAGTATTATCGCCACAACGCTTATCTTTTTTAAGAGTATTGAGAATGTTCTATTTAAATTTAAAAAAATGTATTTTTTTCAGTGCACTTGCAAGGGGGAGGTGCGTTAGTTGATAGGAACTAGAGGCATAAAGAGGCGAGGGTTTTTGTCTTAGAGGAGACTGGGACCGCTACAATTACGCCGAATTAAAAGTAATATTGCGTCGCTCTTTGATTCTATTAAGACTGTTAACCGGGGGGCACGAAAGGAGGGGGAAGGGGATGTGGGGGGATAGAGAGCCCCATCGAGGGAAGCCAGCAGCCAACTCGTTCACATTTAACAACATTAAGAAGCTTTTCAATTGCGCGGCATTCAATTAGCGAATTGATTTGGCCAGTCCACTTAATGGAAATTTGAGTGCTACTCACATGTTGCTGCTGGTTAATGCCGCTTTCCCCGTTGCAGTAGCAATATCTCTGGATGTTGCTCCAAAAGATTCCGATTCCGATTCGAATGATGTGACTTAGCTTTCGTTTATGGATATTCCTGGTGTGTTAATGGCTAAAATTGCAGCTTGCCTTTATGTTGCTGCTATATCTTGTTGATGTTGCTGCTGCAGTTGGTGTTCCTTTTGAATTTATGCGACTGCAACAGTTGCTTCTTCTCCCTTCAGCTGCACAACCTTGACTCTGCTGCAACAAAAGATCGAAAAAAAACAGTTGACCATTAGAAGATAGTTTAAATTCACCCCCGATTCGTTGGGCCTGCGATAAAAGTGTCAATTGCAATCAGAATTTATTGCCACCTTTCGATGCGTGGCTCAATTCGTTGCATTAGGATCAAAGACCATCGAGATCGACCGACCCCGAAAATCGAATTCCATTCCCCAGACTCAAAACTCGATTTGGTTTACCTGTTTACCTGTTTCACTCAACGGTCTAATTGCACCCACTTAGCACTAACACACACACACACATACACACACACGGGTAATACAACAATTGCTGTTGATTTTGGCCCTTTCGATCCCACATATATAAATTTCCAGCTTGACAAGCCGATCTGCTCTTTGTCTTCTTACCGAAATCGAAAAATATCTTTGCTTCAGGTGATCCTTTCTTGACCAACTTCCAGGTACGCAAGGTGCACAGAAAACTTTGGGGTTACTGATTAAGGAATACTAGCCCACCTTCCACCACTTTTGACCCCAAGAAAAACACCCGAAAAAAAGAGAATAACAATAAGCAAACTAATTACTGATACGCGTGGAAATTTTCAGCAATAACAACATTCAGAAAAAAAGGGTTCGGTGGTGGAAAATTATGCGCTGCAATTTTTATTGCCTCATTGTTCGTGGCATGTTGCCGTTGCCGATGTTGCTGTTGCCGATGTTGCTGATGTTGCTGTGGGTGCTTTGCATTGTTCCGGCTTTGTTTCTCTGGACATTTTTGGGTTAATGTTAATTACCCGAACTGCTTTCGCACTGCCGAAAGAAACCCAAAGCAATTAAAATTTTTATGACGCACTGAGTTATTACTTCAAATCCACAAACTTGAGTAATGGCCACGCCCCCGCTTGCTGCTGACCTCACCCCCCCTCGGGAAAAGGACGTGAGAAACTCTCCCAGTAAAACGCAAAAGAAAAGGAAAACGAACGCCCACAAAAGCGGGAAACAAGAAACGAGAAAATGTAAAGCGAAGAAGCGAAAAACGAAAAAAAAGGCTAACAGAGTTTGGGTTCAAGAACAAGGAGAGATATTAAAAAGATTTATTGCTTTATGATTTCCAGAGGGGTCACGAATCTGGCAGCGGGAAAAGTGCAACTGTTTCGGCCAAGGTTTTCTACCTGGGCGGCAGGAGGTCAAAGGTTAATCGCTCCCGTATAGGCTACGATCAGTTTGGGATTGGTAATACAAAAAAAAAACCTCAACCACTTGCACTTTCACTGCCTGAAACAGCGAAGTGAAATGCTGTAATTAAACTCTAACTATCAAAATGCAATAAATTATACAAAAATCCCCGACTTCTCATTCCTCGTGGCATCTTAACTCATCTGCGACTTATGTCTCTCGACATTTCTTTCGTTGATAATTTACATAAAACGCTTTTCGGTTAGATTTCAAGCCATTCAAGCGACTGCAAGTGAAAAGATTTCCAAAATCAGATATGTGAAAGTTTATTAATTAGCCAGCAAATGCCAGATCTGTGAGAGACCAAAACGAAGACGCAGTTTCAAGTTGATTTAGTTGTACAAAATAAAACCCAGACTTAAGGTGTTTAAGATTAAAGCTAAATTTAAATAGGAGTTGTGTTTTGTAACTTAAATTGAGGTAAATATTTAAAATGATACTAACTTCTTGTGTAGTTATTTAGTTATTTCTAAGGTAGTGATAGATAAAGTTAATTTTAGGTTTTATCGCCAAGAGATAATTACCGATATGATTCACCACATAATTATGCAAAAATGGCATGCGATTCCCGCTTTTCCCGATCATTAATTGGGGGCTGACGTCATTTGGTCTTAATACCACCGAGTAGCAGCAATGCTTGTAATTACTTCTTCCACTACAACTAACAAGCCACAAAGTTGTTTGCCCTGCTAGTGGGCGGGAATATTTGTGGGTGGTTGGGGGTAACAAAGGATTGCATGATTAGGACGCATATCAATTACTGGCTACAAGACTTCTCTCTCTCTATCCGAGTTACAAGCCAAATGCGATTAACATAAAAGGTCAGCAAGCGCTGCGGGGAAGCCTGACCCCCCGACCTCCCAAACAACCAAACACCCAAAACACAACAACAATAGAAAGTGGTTAAAAAAGTAGTAATAGGCGTAATAAGAATAATTGGTGATAGGGGGCTTGCAAAGAGTGGGGTTATCCTGGTGCGTGTTCTGGGGTTAGTCCTCTATACTTGTTGTTGTTGTTGAAACGCGTTGACTTGTGACCATTTCATAAATACCGTTATAAACAAATTACGACAATAATAACACAGCAACATCAACAACAACAACAACAACAGGAGGCTTTCGGAACGGTCAGCACAACAACGTAGCTGGAAATATGAAATTTATTTTTTATTGCTCACATTTACACATGTCGAAGCAACGCCCTTCGGAAGAGTCCTTCCCCCCCTTTGACCCTCCCTCCTCCACCAGAAACTGAACCCAAAACAGAAAAAAAATATGAATTTCTAATGAAATTAACCTCCTGCTATGCTTCTTTTCTCGGCTGCGGGGTTAGAGTGTTTATTTGCTGACGGGCCCACAACTATCCAACCATCCCGAAACAGTCTGACCGAAGGACAGCTGGAAACCTGGGGAACCTCTGCTCCTTTTCCGAATAATTCAGAGAAACAACAGGGTTACCTCGATAGAAGCTATCAAAAATATATGTGGGATCTTAGAAATACAGTAGAAATATATCAATATCAATCTTACAACTCCAAAGGAAATAACGTTTAAATATCAAAAATAATTTTAAAATTTGGTACCCAAATAAATATTATTTTTATCTGTATGTACATATGTATATGTATACGATAATATTTTTTAACAAATCTGAGATATATTGTTTGCAATTAATTTTGTATTTATGAATAATAGTTATTTTTCGCTGTGTATCCCTTCACTGCGACTGCCATTGACCCCTTCACTGTAAGCCGCCTTTCCTTCCGTTCGCACATTGTAATTTTTGGTAATAAAAACGCTTTTTACTCCATAATGTTTCGTTAAGGCGACTGCATTATAGAGGGTATATTAACCTACCTTCGCTAATTGCAGGACTATGAAAATTACTAAAAAGTAATGGAAAGAGGTTAAGGGAAACGGATGCAGCGAGTAAGTCAGAACAAAGTTAAATTGGCGTCAAGTATCGAAATACTTGGAAATGTATATTTATGCGCATTGTGAATCACCTTCGCCAAGAAACCGAAAAAAGAAGAATCTTTACCGAAGAAAGAAGGCGACTGTCCAGTTAAGCTTAAGTGGGTATTAATTTTCCCCCAGTGACGCGGTGTCCTTGCCCCCGCACCCCATTACCAATTCCCCCCAATAACCAAAACAAGCGATTGCATTACCACAAAACTTTGAGCTCAAGAAGTGGGCGGGGGAAGGAAGGGGAGTGTGGGGGGAGGTAAGCAGTTAGTCACAAATACAATCGCGTAATTAATTAAGCGCGTCAGCTGGACACTGACCGCCGTTAGGGGGTGGGGAAGTAGGGGGAGGAACGCCAATAATGAAAGGATAAATACAGTGGGACAAGCAAAAATTTAGCTAAGGAAATGTATTGTTTAAAATATGATTTAGATATATTAATCCTAAAGGTGTTATAAATACAATTCAAATTTATAGTTATTTAATTAAAAAATATTAAGATCATTACCCAACATGAAAATATTTATAAATCTTGTTAAATTTTCTATTTAATTGATTTTCTTTTAGAAAATAAACTTTGTATATTGTAAACCCCTTTAAAAAAGATTACCTTTGAGGTGTTAATAAAATAAAATATTATTATAGGATTTTTATTAGTTAAATGTGTTAACAAGTAGGAAACAAGTTTAAAATGCAAAAATAAGGAATGTTGTACTACGAGTATATCAAGATTTCATCATGTTTTAGGTAATTTAAGGGTGTAAATTATAGGGGGTAACTGACTGTGACAAACTTAGACTTGGCCCACTGTTTCTGCGGATTGAGAACCCATGCTGGGCAGCGGTGCTTAACCCGAGACACACGCATTGTTGACCGGATGGATTGGGCATGGAATCGCAGTGGGACGGTGGAAGGTGGTCGTCGGCAAACACACCTCAAATCGCGTTTTGTCCTTTATCAGGTAATTCACTTTTTAACTTGCTCTTCGCCTTTTATTCTGTAATTCCACTTGGGGCCTCGTTTCTTGGCTGCGTTCGTTCATTTTCTCCAGCTTTTTTTTGTAATTGTTTGCCATTAATTACAGCAACAACAACACCAACAACACCAACAACAACAACAATCAAGGCAATAACGCTGGGGCAACAAAGTCGCGCAAATATTTCCGCTTTTAACCTCTTCCCCTGGAAACGAATCACTTGGCTGGTTGTTAATTTTATTTATAAGTCCGCATGACACACCTTCCTTTCGATTCGATTTACGATCCGTGCATTAACGGTTAATGGCAGGCTCAGTCAGGCTCTCTTTCTGTCTCTTTCTCGCCCTCGGTCGTTTGTCTGTCCCTTTCGCAGGCTTAAAACAATTGACATTTTGGCCATTTAATTGCAATCGTTGATGGCATTTGAACTTGCCCAAATATGATTTCCGTTTCCGGTTATTGCCGCCGTTTTCCCCCTTTTCGCCTAGATAACATCCAACAAGTTTGATGCAACACGAAGCTCCAAAAGATTCGTTTCAAACTCGAACCGAAGTTTCCGAACGCCAATAGAAAGGGACGGAACGAGGAGAAAGAGAGCGCACGCACTCATATTCATATTCATTCATGTGGTTCCGCTCGCCAACCGGCAAAATGGCAAGAAAAACAATAACAAACCCCAGCTGAGAAAATCGGGTGGCTTTTAAGAAAAACCTAAGAGAACCGAAAGAGATGGAGCCACCAAGAGCGGAATGCCCAGACTGCAGTCTCAAGTTGCAACAACATCAACATTGACAGCAACACCAACACAAACACAAATGCAAACACCAACACCAAAGAATAGCC